AAGCAAAAAAGACAGAAATCCGCAAAACTAGTTATGGCGAAAAAAATATGGTTCACGTTGAAACCCAATATTGAGAAGCTCTTATTTTTTATTGAAAACAAGGGGTAGTAAGGCGTGCAGCAGTGAACTCATCCTCACAATTCCTAGCTGTGTAAAAAGATAGAAAAGGCGCCGAAAAGAAAAGAAGTGAATGACAGTATCTTACCTAATCGTACCCCTCGTGTACGCCGCGGTAATCTCTGGTACCAGAAGTCGAAGCTTTTCTTTGTTGTTAGAAGGGACGAGAATGTATCGGATCTGTTTCCATACCTTTGTCTATAATGGAGCGCTATGTGGTACCCAGTGATTCCGCGAAAAGTAGAACAGAGATATACAGTAGCGGTCAAAAGTGTTCGCCGAAACGATTTTTAGTGCATTATTTTTTCTCGCTTGAGCAACGCCCTCCAAAGATTGATATACTATGTTTTCTAGTGTTTTTATATCCTCAAGTCTTGAAGAATCAGGATATTCAAAAGAAAAATTTTCGAGACCATGATTTTTTTCTGGCAAAAGAAGCACGAAAAACCGTTTCGCGAACACTTTTGACCGCTACTGTATGCAGAAGTAAATATACAACGCTACCTATAAGACTCACTTCCAAAGGGAGCTTAATTGGAAGAAAATGACGTATAAGCTGGATTGAGTGTTCAATTTCCAGTCGGACACGTGCAGGAGTTTGGATATAATGAACCTGAATGAGGTATGTACACATTGCAGGGCTTTAGCTTCGGAACCTTCAGAGGGCTCCTTCTGTATTATTTAGCAAACGCTACAGTGTTAGGTAATAACTCGACAACAAGCTCTCATCTCATAAATCCTGAAAAACCACTCACTGCTTTAGAATTCTTCTTGTTGGTCGATGACGCTTCACCAGATTGGGAACATGGAGCCTTCACTGAATGCGGCAACTGATAAGGGATGATGACCTAACGAGAAGCATTAGAATGAAGAATGAAAAGGATAGCGTAAGAATGAAAACTTTCACCGGACACAAACAAAAAGAATAGATTTCATGCAAAAAAGTTCAAGCAAAACTCACATTCATTAACAACTCTTCTATACTAAACGGCACTTTTGCACCGCTACCGTTTTCAAATAATTCATCACCATGGGCAGATAAATATTTTGGTACGCAATCAAATAACGCCAAGTATAAAGAAGGAATCTGGAAAGCAGCTAAAATGTATATAGAGAGTGTCAAGATCAAATGAGGCAAAATATCCAATCTCGGTTATCATAAAAATGCATGAAATTGGATGTTATTACATGAAGATTTGGCGCAAGCTGGGTAAAAAGCTGAGATCTGACGATGGACTGAAAACGTGCTTTTCAGGTCGAGAGGAGAACAGTCAGATACGCACGGAAATTGGCATGCTCGGTTGCAAATCCCTCACTACAAGGAGAACTTCGAGACGTGTAGAGGTCAAAACGTAAATAAGGTAAGTAAGTGGAAAAGAGCGACTGCCTTAACAGAGAAATGGATTAATCACCAATAAAAAAGAGCGGTATCGACTGAAATACTATTTGGGCTCGGTTAAAAAACCGAATCTGTTAACAAAATCCAAGAGAAATAAACTAGGGTAAAGCGTTTGGTGTTGACTCGTCCCTTTTGGGATGCGCTACGAAATTCACTTCGACCAGTGTTGCATTTAAATGGCCCATCTAAGGCCTCGGGGAACAGTCTATTGCAACTACATAATAAGCGTGTCTTTCCATAGTACCAAAAAATTATTCAGCTACAATATGGCCTCGAAGAGACGAAACCTTAGGTGCCCCAGGCGGATACGATCCAGGACCTAGCCTTGTAAGCGAGTATATGGAAAGCGGCACCGTGTTTTTCTATCTCTCCCGCTTGCGATGAAAAAATATAATACTAAAATTACAAAAGTGTATGAGTTATAAGGTCACAAAAGCGTCCAAAAAATTAATATGGAGCGAATAGGAGCACTCACGGTTGTGTGAGGTATTGGTCCGAAATCTTTTCGCATGGGAATAAAACTAAAACGCGGCTGTGTGTTACGATTCTTCTCCTTTCCTGCCTTCAAACCACTTGCTTTTTTGAGTTCGGCCTGGAAGTATTTTGGCTAAAAACTAAAAACAAAAAACTTCCATGACTGAATCAGAAATTTGAGTTTTGATAAGACTTGAGACTCTATTAGATGTTGGAGTATTACAAAAAGAAAAAACCTCGAAGAAAAATACAAAACGATGGCATCGACTACAAAAGATACTTATCACTGATTATAAGAATCACCCTGACGAGGAAAGTCTTCCACGTTGTGCCCACATTTTAAAAAGTCTTTGTAGGATGTAGGGACATTTGCATGGAACACAAAATTATGTTTAATTTGTGAGCAGCCCTCTAAAGGCTAAAAAGTGGATTGAAATTCTTGAGCGCCAAACTTTCTGAAGATTATTTGCAAAAATAAATGGGTCTATTCCAGTTAGGGGGGCATCATGATGCAGTTTCTCGGCGAGCTAATGTAAACTCGAACATTCCAGCTTCTCACGCATGTCAAGTGACTGCCCTCACCCCCCACCCCCTAGGCTGGCTACACTCCCCCTGGCTCAGAGTTACCGTAGCTTTTTGGGAGTCACCGCACCATGATGCCCCCTAAGGCCGGACGCATAGTCGGTCGGACGACAGCAACGACTGCAAGTGTCGCACAGCATCGGGTGCGTATCGATCTGCGACAGCAGCGGTCGGACGACAGCAACGACCGCAGGTGTCGCAGATCGATACGCACCCAATGCTGTGCGACACTTGCAGTCGTTGCTGTCGTCCGACCGACTATGCGTCCCTAACTGGAATAGACCCACCTAATGAAAAGGTTTTTGCCAATACTGGTGCCAAAAATGTTTTAGAATAGGGTTTTCAGGCTCGAAGAAGGCGAAATCGCCGAAACGTTAGCCAACGGAATCACTACCAACGTCGCGTGCTGTTGAGTCAAATAAATTTGTACTGAAAGTATGCCGAGGTAGATCGAGAAGATGGTGAATACTCATACGGTCTACTGTAGTTCCGCTGGTAATATGACGCTCCATGGCTAGGCGCTGGAGGAAATCGAGCCATGAAACAATCTACCATCGCTTTTTCGTAGATCGCTCAGGAAAAATGAAGCATAATACCATGTTCCAAGCATGTCCCTATATAATGCAAAAAAAAAGTTTTGAAAAAGCAAGACACGGCCTGGAAGACCTTCCGCTCAGACCATGGCTTGGACCAAAGGCCCAACAATGAAACAATGAAGCTCACCTTATACAAGTGACAGAGATTGTCGAGAATGGCTTCGGCTTCTTGTTGATCGAACGCCACCATAGTATTCATATGAAGGCTGTTAGTACGTTAACATACGTGGTTGTGGTCCGTAGTGAAAGTTGAAGACGAATATTCTAGTAAAACACATTATTCAAAGAAGAATAACAGACCTACTAGACGAGTGGCTCGAAAACTGAATAATATAGCTCTTGAATCAAGGCAACACAAACACTGTAAACAAGAAGGAGAGAAGGGTTCAACATCGATTCTAGCACTATTCGAGAAACGTCCACAGAAATTTCCAGTTCAGAAGACAGAGAAGATGAAAATAGTAACCAATTGGAGGAAAGTATCGCAATACGGAAAGGAAAAAAAATCATAGAACCAACAATTGAAACCGCTTGTCGTACATCTTCCTAATACTCATTAAATGTTGGATATACAAAGTATGCAGGATTCAATATCTGGCGTGCTTGCCACGCTATAAACATGCAATGTATTGAAGAAGAATGTATTATAAACGAAAACAAAGAAAAAAGAGAGCGGCGATTTTAAACGGCGGCAGCAACGCCGATTAGCGATTGGGGCGCTCTTTCTCAAATCTCAAAACACCACCTTACCTTTCATTCAGCTCAAAACTCACTCGGGTATTAGTACTTGATTCCTATGAGTTTTCTGACCAACTCATTGAGCCTGGTAGTTTCTAAATATTATCTGGATAAGTTCCAATGAGGGGGACAACTGGCACTAGAGGTCGTGCCACCTCCATTTTTGCGGGAGGAAGTTTCCGATGCGCGAAGGCTACCC